TGAAGAAATTTTTTCCTAATATCCAATCTAAACCTCAGCCTCCAGCATTTCAAAACTAATTAGGCTTTAGACGTCCATCAGAGCTGCTTCTTGTATCTGCCGGTGATTGGCAGCAAGAGGCAATGCCCACACCACCATCTGGGCTCATGGTTTGGAGGGGAGAGAGGGAGCAGCAGGAAACAAAACTGAAGCTCAGGTCTCTCCAGGTGCAGACCAAGAGCGAACCATCCTGTGATTCTGTCAAGGATGCTGGCTCTGTTTTCTCATTCAGGATCAGCTGAAAATGCTAGTATCTTCCTAAGCAAAAGCAGAGAGAGCAGAGCAAAAACCAATGACTGCCCTAAACATCTTTTTAGACCACATGGAGGCAAAATTTGAATGCCTCTAAGCACCAGGAGATCTGAAATGCTGAAGGGAACACACATCTGAAGCGATGGGCCCAATGTCAGAGTTAAGTTATCTGGGCTGGTATATTTATTGCCCATGCTTCAGGTTGGGAGAAAATCAGTGGAAAAGGCAGAACCACCTGGGCAGGGATCTGCCAGGAGAGGACAGGCCTGGGATTCGAGGCATTACAGCAAGATACCCTCTTGTAACTGTGGTTGTGCTAGCTCAGGACGTTACTGCTCCCCTGTGCTCATCACCACTCTGTTAGAGGCTGCTAAGGGTTAGCTGAGCTCTTCATGGGCTGGCAAAAAAACCCTACTATTTAAAGTGATCAACTGATTATCTTCTTCCCTGAAATGAAGTAGGAAGCCAGGCCGGTAGATCTGAGTAGGCACAATGGGTAACGAGTGGCAGTTGGTGGCAGTAACCTCTTCAACAGTGCAAGTACAGCCAGAAGAAGACACAGAACTACAACTAAAGTGGTAAATAGCCTGCAGAATGCTTCTTGCCTGTTTTTGCGTCAGTTAGGACTACACACCACAGCTGTATAGCCAGCTTCAGGTGTGCCCTATCCATGCCGGGACAGTACATTAAAAGGAAGAATTACAGAAGCGTCGGTTCAGATGCTACGCAACCACCTTGCGTAACTCTTTGGGAGAGAGGCAGCATGGCCTTCAGCCTCAGCACGCAAGAGGCTGGCAGAGATGGGCTTCCAAGCCTTTTCGGTCCTCCTGGATGACTTCAGCAAAGCATGTCCTTATGCCTCAATTTCTCAATCTGTAAAAGGGGAGCAGTTTTTAATCACCAAATGAGGCTGCTGTGAAGTTAAATTAATTACTGCAGGTAAAGAGGGTTACGTCCCTTGAAGGCAGGTGTTAAACAAAAGCAAAGATTTATTACTAAAGCAACATGATAGGTCCATTTGAACTTTGTTTGGGAGACCACAGTATTTATCGATTAGTAGCTTTTGGCAGGGGGAGAAATTGCACAGATGACCTCAGGGAAGTAAACTACAGGAAGGTGTGTGTGTGAAGGCATTCATGCTCTTGCTAACGTTATTGTAAATCTTGATCCTTTAATAAAGCTGTGACCTTGGAGTTGACAACTAGTACGCCACGGAGCAATATATAGCATGGCACCAGCCTTGTAAATCTTATGTAGTTTTTGCCATTGACATAGACAACATGTAAAGAGAAATCAGGCAGCTGAAGTTTATGAAACACATTTATTTGAAGGAAAGGATTTTAAATCAGACTTTTTAGATGAAATTAAACCAACAGCCCTGCCAACTTTTTATTCCTTGTGATAAAACATATTCGTGAAATGAAATCTCAACAGTGAAAACTTGTAGAACTGCTCATAAAATTTTGCCATTTGCAGGGGGCAACTGCCACTGAAGAGGTACATTTTAGACCACCTTTGCACAGCTGTTGTACAACTTGGTACAACTACTTTTTGCACAACTATGATTTTGGTTGCTTTCTTGACAATGCTGCTGCTGCTGCAAGAACAGCACATCTCCTTGCCAGTATGAAAAGGGCAAGGATTTGTTCTGTGGGAGTGGTCAAGGAAAGATGGATGTGAGCAGAAGGGGAAAGAGAGAAAGCTGTGTAACTGCAGGGGAATCAGAAGGTGCCATGTGCAAGGGGAAGGACGTATTTTGCTCTTGCCAGGTGTATCTGTATCGCCACCGACAAAGAACACTCGCAGCCACAGACAAAACTAAGGACAGCACTCCTACAGTGGTAGCTTATTTCATACATATAAAAAGTTCTCTATACATTTTTTAGATGTGCAAGAAGTCATAAATCCAGTAACTTTTTCCTTATATTTTTGGCTACTTTGCTCTGGCAGACCAATTTTTTTTTTTTTTTTTTTTTAGTTACTCAAATTCCACCCTTTGGAGCAGCACTGTCCATCTTTCTGACTGAGGAGTTTCCATTCCCCAGGGCAGTTCTTGAAGAGAAGGGAAAGCAACTTTCCCAGGCACATGAAACATTGAATCTTTCTCTTCCCCAAAAGGAGCCACTTTCTGATTCCAAGAAAAGCTAGTAAAGACCTAAAGGCTATTGGGAGTTTCCTTGTTAGCATGTTACCATGTGATTAAAGCTACTTTAATGGCTGTACATGCTTCTATGCATGAACGTGAATTTTAATTTCTTACAGATCAACTGTATCTTTGAAAAATACTATGTTATACTGTACATGTAAAAAACTGTACATACTTTTTTTTAACTTCCATAGTAAGTATACAGGTTAGTTAAAAGATGCTGTCAATCTCTTGAACAGGTTTCTATTTTTTTATTATGAACATAATATTCACTTCTTGCTATCTTTTCATGACAGCTCTCACTTAACAACTTTGCTAATTTTGAGTCTCATCTTGTACTCTAAATGGAAACTTATGTGCAGTCTTACGGGGTCAGTAATACTGTCCTTGACAGTAAGTAGTAGGCCTGATACTGTTTTGGGGGGGGGTTGTTCCAATTTGTTTGGTCCTGTAGCATCTGAGAAGCTGTTGTTTGTCATCTACCTCCAGCATTGCATTGTCATCATCAATGTACAAAAGACTGGCTTGCTCCTGGAATGGAGCTGCAAACAAATAGGAAAGGCTGCTGTCAAAGCGCAGTGTTTCTATATACTGGACCAGCACTGAGTTCAGGTCCACTGTGTTTTAGGTAGAGAAATTGACAATATTTTCTTTTATCCTTACAAAAGAAAAATAACACATTTTTTCAAATGAAAGTGAAATTTAATTTTAAAAAAAAGAATTTAAAACCAAAACAATGCTTAAGAAAAAAAAAACACAACATTTTTAGATCTACACAGGTTACTAACACTCCATTAACTGCAAAAGGCTAAATTTTAGTGACCGTGTTTATCTACAGACCATGTTCTTTCACTTTTTGCAGTAGTGCTTACACGCTGTTTGGATGACTCATATGCACATATTCTAAGAATGACCCATCCAGAACTCTTTCAACAAGAACTTCTCCAACGGTGTTTATGTCCTGAAAGAAAAAAAAGGATATTTTACTGACTATCAAGATAGTAATTAATGTGTTAATAGATTTAATTTTGGCTGCTTGGGTTACCAGTTAACAAAACACTGGTTTCAGTGGGTTTACATTCATGTTTAAAGTTTACTGCCTAACTTTCTACTCCTTAGTGGTAAACACTGCAACATAAAGCAAGAGAAATCATTATGAAACTTGAAATAAATGACAATGTGAAATGCAGAAACAGATTAATTCCGTGATTATGCAAAACCCAACAATGCTAATGGTCTTTATTAAAGAGTCCAATTTGGTGATGCATGTTATATTACTGTGTATAGAAATAAACACTCGGGTCTTAGCTATACTTTATGAAGCTACATATGTGTGAGATATCATTAAAGTGCTATCATACATAAGTCTGTTTCCACCATGTGCACGAATTATAGGTTCAGATTATTAAGATTTACTGCCCTGCCCTCCATTTGGACATCATTTTCTTTAGTACTTTTGCACCATTTGAAAAAAATAATGTTTTATATCTTTCTTTGGGATTTTGTCTGGATGAGTATCAAACATAAATACAGGAAAGCACTAATGAATATTCTTCAGAAATTCTAACAGCATGTTAATGCTTGTGCTGCCTTTTCTATTTCACAGCCCACTCAGACAGCAAACAACTGCAGCACCTTTCAGAAGTACAGCTGTGTCACCTTGGGTTCTTACAGAATAAAAATGGGTTGCTGAAACAACTTTCATTTAAAGTACGTAGGTTTTCATCTGAGGATCTCCAAGTCATTTATAAACGTGAGTCAGATGCATAATACCTGTTAAGAGATGGGGTAACAGAGTACCTTTCCTTTGTCCCAGCATTAGGCAGCAACAGAACTGACAACAGAATTCATAAGCTGGCACCTCTGAGTACCAGACTGCGCTGTTTCTGTACACATCTGCCACGCTTCATGACTTTGTGGTGCAGTTATCAGCTCAGTTCTTTTCAGGACTTCTTGAATGTAAAAGGTGTGGAGGAAGATATGCATAAAGAAATCAAGTCCAGTAGTTTGCAAATACCATTACTCACTATGTAGCCTTCATAATGGAGTGTATGTCTGAGTTGAAGATGCCTTATAAAATTTCTGCTGAAATAGCTTGGATCTCTCGCAGGTGTTAAAGAACAAATTGGACAACACTATAAATAAATGGAAGGAAGTATTCAATTTTCATCTTGCAGGTCTTACAGAAGAAATATTATCAGTGTTTAAAACAACAGAAATGTGAAATAAGTAGATCTGCTATGGCCAAACAGCATTCTCTGAGCAAGACAAATACTGCTAGGCACAGTGCACTTCCAGATCAGCTGTCAATTATGCTAATCCCTGCTGTGTAATTTGTGTCTGCAGACATCCCAAGAACTGCCAACCTATATAGATCTGATGGTTAATATATTCCCTCCTACCAGCTACAAGAGAACAGTAATATAAAAGCATTTGTTATATCCAAAACAAAATTTATCATCCAAACAACTCATGTATCCATTTGTTTACCATTCAAATAATAAACTAATAAAAAATAATCCATTTGTTTATCAGCCAAGCCACTGTGTGGATGATAAAGTGCTACAAGAAACATACAGGATTTCTCTGGTCATCAATAACAAATTAATTCATCTGTGTGTTTACAACAGACGTGCCTAAAACACTTCATTAGAAGAAAAGCTGAATTACTTCCTGTGGGTTCTCTGTAATATAAAAGTTGCAGTTGTTGCAACATCTATTTCTTCAACCAATATCATGAGAACACTGTGCATATGCTAAAAAGATGATTATCATGGAATACACCATGTGAAAATATACTAAAAACAGCTTTATGACATGTTGTGGTAATGAACATTATGACACAACACACCAATAAATCCTATTTAGAACAAAAAGCCTTTTTAGAACTAAAAGTCCAATGTGTTTATTCTAAGTTTGAAATAAAAAGGTTGAAATAGCTATGCCGAATCACTTTTTCAGGTACTCCTGAAATCCTGAAACAGTTACTCTAAAGGTATTTCAGAATTAAAGGGAAGGGTCGGTGTGTCAGTAGCAAACAACAAAGTGCACCTCTCAGCATGTTCCCTCTCTTTGCTTTGTATTAATGATGTGGTGTCTACTTATAAACCAGCTAAAGCAGTTATGAAACCAGTATGACTTAAAAGAGCACATTTTCATTTCCTTGCTTATAATTTTTATGTTATTGGTAGGCAAACATAGTTCTGAATATTGTTTTTTACATTAGGTTTCAAAGAAATGTGCAACAGAGGCTGTATAATGCATATTACTCACGAGTCTCTCAGGATCAGCTTGTATATGCAATTCCGAATTGAGCAAAGGATTTAATAATTTTCTGAGTTTTAAGGCTTAATTCTGCCCTACAGCTACACAGTACGGCTATTTATGAATTTGCCCTGAGTGAAAAAATAAGAGCTTATAGACTGATAGGTGTGATAAAAATTATTGACAATTATTTCAGCTGACCAAAGTACAGAGACTAATCTGAAAAATACAAAATTTGGCAAAATCTTATACATTAAAGCATTAGCTCAGATAAAGGTGAACACAGTATACACTCAGGAGTGAATGCTTCCTTCAATTTACTTGGAGGTCTGGCTCCAGCATAACTTGCTAATACGATCATGGTTAAAGTGGTGAAAACTAACCTGCAAAGTAGAAGGGAATGGAGCAGGTTTCCCCCATCCCACCCGCTGCTGGAAACGGGAACGTTGGTTGATTTGTCTACAAGTCCTTCAGTCTGTAACCTCTCTAAAACACGTCTTCTGCGAGACGTGAGAAATGGAGTCTAAAATGCCTCGGCAAATAACTATCAGGGAAGTAAATTACACTCATCGAGATCTGAGTCTACAGCCTATGGACCTCCATGCTACAAACAGGGTCACAGTAAGACCTTGCAGACTCCATGGACCTTCAGAATGAAGCCAGTTATGTGAAGTTAACTTAAAAAAATTTAAAAAAACCCACTGACCTATATGAGGCCCTGTAAGCAGTTCTCAAATTATAACCCCAAAACCCAGACTGGAATACACAGCAAATGCTGCACATGAATCTGAGTTAGGTCAGTAGAAATAGCACATGCGGGATTTAAAAGCAGGCAAGTCACTGAACCTAACAATGCTCATTCTCTTGGCTGTAAGTAACTGCGTGTTGTATCAGTTGTTAAGACTTCCTACACCAATTTCAGCACTCCTACCAGCGCTCACAACGATAGGAGTGCTCATATTTTAAATATTGTACGCATGCATACTTGTCTGTGAGAGGGGGGAAGAGGGAATCACTGTAGGTAAGTTTTTCCTCCACTGTCAAAACCAAGTAAACAATTAATCTATTTTATCTTTGTCTATTTTCTCCTATCAGTAATGCTAGAATTAATCAGTTTAACACGTGAATTCAGTAAAACATATACTTATGCACATTACCACTGCTCTCCTTTCCAATCTGTGGTAAGTGAGACAATGGTCCATTAGTTCATCCTCATCTACTTCGCACTGGCAGTAAGGACAGGAATATCTGGAAATAAGAGGTAGTATATTGTTAGTGGCTGCAGACAGAACTGATGCATTCTTAGTACTACAAGCAAGAAAAGCAGTACTTAGATTTCTTTGGCCAGATATCATAAGAAGCTTCTTTTGCCGTAGTTAAAATGCAGCATGGGTGTATGACATGTAGCTGGGTGTGATGTACGCTATGCTGCCAAAAGGTCAGCCTTGCTAATGGACGCTGCGAAGACTGCACAGAACTGTGCCAGCATGTCAGGATATTGATCCAGAAAAACAGTCTTAACATAACCATGACCTTAGAGAAGAATGGATGAAAATACTGAACACTACAACTATAGACATCTGATAAAAGCATCATTTAATTGCTGTGATGCACTTGGAGCATGCGTGACCAAACTACCAATCTAATTCTCAGAAGCCCTCATTAAGTTTCGACACTTTCTCATAGAGGATTCCTACTTAGTTTTCAGTAGAGAGTATGGTCTTGTTGCACGGTGGAAACACTATTTGCAGATTAGGGCAGTTTTCAAATGTGTGTGGATGAATGTTCAAGTTCTCTGAGCATCAAAAGAACAATAACTGAGAAGGAGATAGGTTTGCTGAGCAAGCAACCTGAATAATATGTCATTTAGGAATTCAAGTAGCACAGAGTATAGGGACTTTAAATTACATATATCATTTTAATAATGACATAAAAATTGTTCCTATTCATTAATGGACAAAACTTAAGGCCATTGAACTTCAAGACTGCAGTCATTCTAGAATTGCTACACACCTAATCAATTGTTCTAACAGGTCCTGCCCTGAAAGAGAATGAAAGGGACAAAGAATTTGAACTTTCGACATATGACACACCTATATTCTGTAAATATATATATTCTCTATATATAGTTTAAGTATGTAAATAAGAAAAGCTGTCAGTCGTCTTAATTCAAAACTATTTCTGAAGAACAAATTATTAGATGAGAACCAATTAAATTTAGATTATTATTAGTCTTACTCATTCTGGAAATAACCACCATTGTCAAGGAGTTTTATTTGAAAGTAAACGTAATTCTTCCCCCCCAAAAAATATCAAAAGCTGCTGACTTGTCAAAATACTGTTGTTTCTACAAAACAGGTCACATAGAGCTAAATTCTATCAAAATCATACTAACTGCAAGTAAAATGTATTATTTTATAGTCATAGACAAAAAAGAAATTAGAGTCCATTGTAAGTACTATTTGAGTATTATGATTTTAAAATATTAGTAAAGGATTCGTGTTCAATTCTATAAACCAGAAACAAGTTCCAAGTTAAAAAAAAAAAATGAGAATTCTTCTACCAGTTTGAATTTACTATGTTGGGACAACAAACTCAAAAGTGCTTTTGCAATGTCGTCATCACAAAGGTCTACCTTGTTACAGCGTCTCCAAGCTCCTGTAGAGGTCCATATTTTTCTATATATTTTTCACAAGTTCTTAAATGAGCTCTCATTTCACTCAGACATACCTAAGTAATGAGAAGCAGCAGCTTGTTAGGTTTTATACCATGACACATTCACACTAATACATCACTCAGTATTTTGTTCTATATTTCTATATATTTCTATATTGAACTATATTGAACTATATTTCTAGTTCAAAGCCTTGTTACCACATTGTGGCTATACCCGGGGAAGAATACACATCATCTACTACTGGCTCAGTTTCTCAAGCATTATGTTACTGGTTTAGTATTGCTCTAATACATTTTATAATAATCACATCCATCTTATGAGAGTAAAGTGAATTAGAGTGAAAAAATTATTAGTTTGTGGTGATTTTACTTGTTCCTTACATTGACCCTTAATATTTTGGAATTAAATTAGGGAGGCAATAGGGAAACATTTCTAGTCTGGGGAGGTGGACCCTCCCAGTTCACTTCTTGCTCTGTCTTTAGTGGTGAAAATCTAGGTGAACTCTGTTAAAAACAAAAATTTTCCAACTTGAGGGCTGGATTCTGACCTCAGTGAAGTCATCAGCAAAACTTTTTACATATTCATTAAGGATAAGATTTAGGTTTTATATTGCTGCTGCTACTGGATATTTCCTTTAACTCAGAACTTCTAAATAACAAAACCGGTGAAGCAGAATCATGATGTATTTTCTATGATGAGAAACAATATGAAATGATAAGAAGTCACCATGTTGAGATCTTAAAATATTATTTGCACAGAAACAGTGCAGAGAGATTAATATTACTTACAGGTTAGTCTGTATTTTTAACCTTTAAACATTGATGACTGGTTCCAGTGAATCTTGGTGAAGAAATTTAAAATAACCCTGTCCCAGATGTCTGTGCCGTGGCTCCACTACAAACGATCATCCTGACTGCACATCAGCAGAATGAAACACGCTCATGCCTCAGCCCCTTAATTGCGATTTCCACTCCCCAAGTGGAAACTGTAAATGAAATTAGGTTTATACTAACACAGTAATCCATGCGTTGGCGTGACTGAGACACTGCAGGAGCATTTGCCAAGGGGTAGTCTGCCAAATATCAGAAACAACATACAAAGGTGTCTTGACGCTATGATGCATTAAATGCACTCTCCTTTTCAACATACCTTAGTGGCCTCACCGATGGCTTTATGCAAGAAATACAGCCAACACTTTCTGCAGCCATAAGAAAGATTATAAACCCCTGCAGATGTCCATATGCAGGTCACTTCTTGTGCTCTGCCACAGTAGAGCAGAAGGCAGTAATTGAGCTCTACTAAGTAATGAGAAGCCTAGCTAAGCTATACGTAGCTCAGCGCTTCTTAACATACCTGTTACAACTGGGTTCCTTCTGCAAAACCCAATTTTAAAAACTACTGAAATTAAATTCGATATTTAGCTATTGTTAGTATCAAGGTGTTGCAGTTCATGCATTTCATTGTTAGTTTTAAGCAAATCTTTCCCAGGTAGAAAATACATGGCAAAAAGGTAAAGAACCAATAGTGTTAACAACAAATAAACATTTTTGCTGCTTTTCTTATGTTCTCTGTAATTCCCTACAACGCTGCAAATAGCAGTCTTTCCGAAGTTCACACATTTACTTGCTGATTTACGTTTTATGGTGTTTTCACACTGCTGCAGCTAGACAAGAAAGATTTAAGGGTATTGTTTTGCAGTTTGCAAGACAGGAGAAATTATAAAAGCCAGATGTGAATCCATTCAGAGAAAAAATAAGAGGGAGTCATATATAAGCTGTACAATCTCCTCCCACAAAACAACACAGGCATAAAAATATGGGGGGAGAGCAGTACTGAAGAGTGTTCATTATACAGAAAGAGGCACAGAGTAAGTATTCACAAACATGGGAGAAAATACTTGGGTTTATATGAATTTTCAAATAAACGTATATTAATTCAATCTTGTTTAATTGTTTTTCTTATTGATATATGCCCTGTCCTGCACCACAAAGTCCTGTTAACCTTTTGCTCTGCACCTTGTTTTGATGAAACATGATTAACATGTTCCAGTTCAAACAGTAGCATTTAAAACTTCATTTCCATGTAAGTGATGTTTCAAAAGGCTTTATTTAGATTTAAGGAAAAAGGCTAAGTTTAAGTAGCTTTACCAAGGGTGGGGGGCAGGGGGGCGACACGACAGGGATGGACGACAGGGTGGTTTAAAAAAAAAAAAAAACCCACAAAATTTTGTATTTTTGTCCTGTATTTTAACGGATGCAATTGTGGCCAGGATTTTTATAATTAAACAGTCACAGAATATGAAAAAAACCGGATTTGTCCTTTCTCCAGCCAAAGCCAACACAGGGAACCAAGAAGATTCAGCTCCCATAGGTTTAGGCTTGAGCTTAATATTTGCAATGGCACTGGCAGAGTGTTTTAATGCTCTTTTAGATACAGAACTTGATAAATCACAAAAATTTATTCTTCCATCATCATGCTGGTGGAGTTTCTCTGTTTAGACATGCCCTTAAAAACAGATCTTAATAGTGTTAGTTCTCGTGCATGGATACATCTCTGGAATTATTTAGTAGTTAGTGTTCAAGGCTGCAAACCTCTGTTTCACATTCTGTGCAATTTCGGTATGTGCTCTCCATCTTCTTGGTAATATCAGTGGCTGGAATTCCTTCAGAAGGGAGGTAAGCGCGGCAGTAAGGGCACGTCCATGCATTATTCTTTAAACTTGCAGAAATACAGGAATGACAGAATCTATACGTAGAAAGAAATGAAAACAAATGTGGTAATTCCCCCAAAACACGCTTCAGACAAGGCAGGGTATATAGAAAAAGCATCAAAATCTTGCACTAAATGCATCCTCAGTGTAACACTGCAGGCTATTTGTTCTTAGGGTATACTGAGAAGATTGTGGGTACTGTTCCTGCAGCCCTACTTGTGTTAAGGGGAGCACTGAAAACAGACAAACTGAGCACCCTTGTAGCAAGGAAATGTATGTGACTGTGAGGACTCAGTTCAGAGCAGAAAGAGAGGAGCCTGTCCCCTGTGGGCCCGGCAAAGCCTGCAGTCCATGATTTCAAAACCTGCTATCACAGCAAAGATTATTTCATTTTTGTAGTGTTGCTGCTGGATGATGTCACAAATATACATACTGATAGCTTACTGTAAGTCTTCCTGAGCCCATAAACAGAAGAATACTCCATGCCGCTCCTGTGATGGAGAAGAATCCAGGTTGTTAGGACAAGGGAATTTCTCCAATACATGATGAAGTCCAGAGCTGGAGAATTACACTCAGAGGTTTTAGGCAGCAGTCACAGGGAAAGTGTTAACTTGTTGTGGTATGTGGTTCGCTGACCTAGCTATCGCAGGGTTTTGACTGGATAAAGGCATACCTACCTCTGCGAGTGTCCAAGCCACTTCACTTCTCTGGTTTTAGTAATAAAAGCAGGTTGGATTAGCGGTCACTGCAGATGCTTTTGAAAGCTTTTTGTCAGTTAGGGATATGAAGATAAGCTTTGGTGAATCTTCCCCTAGAGATTTAAGACATTACCGCCCTTCGCTATCTGAGCACCACTGCAAAGCCCCAGTGCTAATGGGACAGGAGATGGCCTTTCTTTGCATTAGATTATGGCTCCCCATCACGTCAAGATAGGGATCTGGTGGTCTCAGGTAGAGTGACAGCCTGGGGCTGCAAGGAAGGACAAAAGAAAGGATGCAGACTGACTGCTGCCCCCCTGGCTTTGGAGGAGCTGTTGTGCCAGACTGCAACCCACAGTGAGTGCGCTGCTCAGCCTGGGTGAGTGTGCAGACAGCAGACACATAAGGGTGAGGAGGTGGCAAAAGTCCTCGCACCTCTGCGATAGATGTGCACTTGTGCCCCTCTCCTAAGTACCACAGCCCTGCAGCAGAAGCAAACTTGTGTCTGCAACCCCAGCTGCGTGAACGCAAAATTTCACCTAAATAAACTGCTGACTTTGCATTGAAACAGCTAAGGAGCAGGAACATCTTCCTTTTTGTCAATTCTGCTTGGAAATTCAATGCAGTAGCTTCCAGAAGAGAGGCACCAAAAACCGTAAATCACTGCGGTCATGATCAGCAGATCACTCAAATCAGCTTGTACTGGTGGTCATGCTGTGCCAATTTAGGATGTTGCCACTCACACTCTCCTGTGCTGCCCCTCTGTTGAATCATAGAATCATTTAGGTTGGAGAAGACCTTTTAAGATCGAGTCCAACCATAAACCAAAGGTTACCCACCTTTCCTTCTGTCTCCTCTCCCAAACCTCCAGCCCAGCAGAAGGTATCATGTGCTTATCTCTCAGATACTTCTACTCAGTTTGGCATTTTAGTACAAATCCACCTCCTTTCCCAGTTGCTAAAATGCTAACCTTTGCACCAGAGGTGCTAAATCCACATTGCCCCCACCAGCTCTGCTATGTAGACAGCAACTCCAGCAGAGGCGTGGAGTTGGAAGCTGAGGCAAAACCTTCTTAAGCCGCTGTAAAACAACTTGCCAAGCTTGCCAGTGCACTCCGCAACAGCATTTCTAACATACTTAACAGCCTGTGATCGACCTATAGCAGGATTTCAGATGTAATCTCTTCTTTGGAAGCCTTCTTCCTATATAGCTCCACGGAGCCATGTAAAATACAATCAAAGCCTAAGTCAGACAGAAGGTGGTATTTTGCAGTTACAGAAGTATAAATGATTACACAAAGTGCAAAGAGAGTACAGCCAAGACCCAACATGCTCCCTGTCCAAGGATAAACTCTGAATTGTTACACACGGTTTGCCCTCGGGCAGGTTTTAGCTTAGATTATTCCTGCACTTTAGACAGGGTTGAAAAGGTTTCTTTGTTTCCTTGAGGAACAGATGAGTCTTCTATAAATAACCCTGTACAAGGTTCACACATGCTGTCTGAGAGCTTTCCCCTTTTAATGTCACAAAATACAAAATCAGATTACCCTTTGCCAGTTTGTTCACCCTCCCCCTAAAACTGTCAGTAGCAGAAAAAAAGTTAACATAAAGGATGCAAGGATTGGTGAAGAGCAACTACGCTCATGCACTATACACAAATAGTCTTTTGCTACTAGTCAGTGATTTGTTCAGTTGACTGTAAAAACAAATTGCAAGAATTTCAGGTTCAACAACAAAAAACCCTCCACCCTTAACCCAATTTATCACTCTGCTTTATTCGCTCAGTCCATATCTAAACAGGTAAAACAAATAAACAAACAAAACTTAAAGCAGTGCAGGTAGATGAAACAAAACCTAAGCATCTCAGGATATTGACCCTGAACATTGCTAAGCCCTACTTTTTTCCCCTTCCGTTCAGCCTCCAAACAATTGCCTCAAGTTTCTAGTTAGAGGCTGCATAACTCTTCTCAAATCCAACAAAAGCTAATACATTAGTTCTTGAAGATACTGAGGGTGCTGCAAACAGTTGCATTTTTAGACATACATACATGTGTATGTCTCGGCTCAGGAGCACATCATTTTCCATGACCTGGAATAAATAATAAAACAAGCCTCCCCAGGCGAATATCAGAAAAGGCGCAGCTACTTGGCTGGATTTCTGTTGAGAAGGAACTCTGCAAAGTTGCCGATAGTTTCTGAGGCCAACAAGTCGTCCTGGACACTAAGAACGGGCTCAGAAACTTGCTAGGAAGCCTTTTATTCTGTTTTTCTTTCTTTTTTTTAATTTTTCCAAAATTATTCCTAAACACTGGCTTAAGCCATACTTCTGACTGCCGTTATCACTAGGATGCCTGTGCCAGGTGCCGTTTGTAAAGGGAGTCACTAGCAGATGGTTCATGTTTGTTCTTGCATTCTACACCTGCATATGTTGCTCTGTGCTGATTCTATTTGGGACCTTTATGCCATGCTTGCATCTGGACGAGACTGAGATTAGGGGCGATACTCTAGTTATGGCTCACATTAAATTTGTGGCGAAGACAACCATTAGAAATACCCACTTGGAATCTGAACCAGAACACACTCGCTCTAGAACAGCCGGTTTTACTCGTTGATTTTTTAAGTGGTCCAGAATAACCAGCCTTATCCTAAAGCAGCTATCTGCGAATGGATTTTCCGGCATATCCTAACCTTAAGCAAAGTTAGTTGGGATGAATCTAGACATACTTCTAGGTATGTAACAGGAAAAAAAAAATAGGGCACAGGTGTCCCAACCTCTCTCTGCAGTCAGCAGGGAAACAGATGCGACTTATTTCAGGTAGTTCAATCTTAA